CCAATAACTTTCGAGAGAGTTTTTAAATCAATACTTAATTTTGTATTCATGCGCCCCTCAGTTAGTTTTATTGACAACGATGTGGAGGTGTGGTTGGCTGGTAGTTAAGTAGGAGTAAATCAATATGGGAAGCTGCTTCAAAGATCGGATGTATTTATTTTTTACCTTTTACTGCAATCAGAACCTCTTTATTAAACACAGGATTTCAGAAAATTACTAAAGACAAGTGGTTGCACATGAACATAATAGCTTAAGCAATCACTCTGCTTTGACTATTTTCTAGTAACATTTTTATTGTGGTCTTCCGTTCTTCCATAGGAGCTTCTGTTGTAATTTGCAACAACCAATAAAATGTTTGAAAAGAACTATAAATTTAAAACATAGGTAATGAAGTTAGCTATTTTCATTTAAATAAATTCAGTTTGAATTTTGGAAATAATATTCCCAACTACTATGTTTTGGAAATTAAATATGTTATAACTAATGATCGTTCATGCAAGAAGTAAATTTATTTTAACTAGTTAGAAGCAATAATTGCTACATATGTGTGGGTGTAAATCGAAGTAAGCAGTCAGCATGTAGTCATACATACAAGGTAATTACCAAGCCTCACAAGGTTTTATATGCATGCAAATACCTACGTCAGTCGTGGAAAATCACTGAAATTTTCAGTCCGGCCCACATTTTAGCCTAATAGAGAAAACAAGTAAATGTTTGATTGCTTGAGCTATTGTCAAAGGGCGGTGAAGAAGAACGTTATCCGACGAAACCTTGATGGAGCTTGTAATTAAAACTAAAGAAACTTCGCTATTTATAAATGTTCTTAATATTTCCATTGTTTAAGAAAATACACACCATTGTTGTAGGACAATTTTTTTGTTTTTTAGTGTAGGAATAATCAACAAGTCGAATTTCTGGAGGTGAATGCTTATAAAAGCGCAAACAGTCATATTGTAGTTATCAGTTGTCATTGCTATACAGTAACATAATAAACGGAGGAAATTTTATGAATATTATTTAATAAATTTGTATGATTAAAATTTATTATTGGAAAATATAAAACACTAAAGTAGTATGGCTTTATTAAAGTGTAGCCAGGTGCTGTCTGTAGCTTTGTTATGCACAGTGATAATAGCAGAAAATGCAATTCATGCGGTGCCTAGTTCCAAACAAGTTATAACATCCAGTCATTCACATGACTTAGATAGTGATGTTGAAAGCGAAAAAGACGACTTGGTATCCTCTTCTTCCCTTGGTTATGGGTACTACTCGCACCCTTACTTGAATGGTGGCTATTACGGGGGATACTATCCATATTATGGCGGCATATATGGTTTAGGTGAGTTTTACTAACTGTAACGATTTAAAAGACAACACAATTTTTATTGCATATTAATCACAAATTTATAACATCAATTATATAAAGATTAATCTGAGAATGACAGCTTAATAATCTAAGTCTATACAATATTTCCTATTCTAGTTTGCGCATAATTTTACTTTTATTATACATTCACATACATCTATATAATTAAAATATTTACTAAATATTGTGTTATACAGGTTATCCTTATTATGGCGGCTATTATGGCGGTCATCACAGTTTCCATGGCCATTATTGGTAAAGCAATATACTGGAATATTTGTGTGTGTAGCGGGTATATAAAAGTATGAATTCTGTATTTTTTTGCTAAAAAAATAATAAAACTAAAATATTAGTAGTGTTAATTAAATTAGTATGCATATCTAAAAAATTAAATGAAGTCTATTTGGCACAACCGCTAGTGGAAGTAATTTTTCAGGATTATCGTACAAAAAAGTTAAAATATTTAAAAAATAAACTGTATGTTTCTTATCGAATGTTAATAAAAAAATTAATTGAAAATAATGAAATTCAATAAAGAAATAAAACTAATACATTGTAATCACACCAAAAATTCGCCGAATTTGCTTTTGAAGAGTATATAGTTATTTAGTGAATACCAAATAAAAAAATATTTAAAGACTACAGAAGATATCGAGGTAATTTTTTCTCCACAAATTAATTATTTACATTAAGATTTAAATAAATCTGATATCTAATTTGTTTTTCAATATGGAAAACGTATTGTTATTAAAATTATATCTTTAGCTATATATAGAAATAATACTCTCCAATAAAAACGTGAACCTTTTTTTATCAGTTTAAGTTTTCTAAAAAATCTGTTCACAAGTCTGAAAATGGTAGTACGAGTATCACCGTTTGCTTTTAGTTGAAATGAAATAACACACGAGGTACTTAACAATTTCCACCAGGTTTGTTGGTTCATACCTTTCAGTATATCCGCTTGAAATAGGTGAAATCGATTTACAGCCGCAGCAAAGAAATTTTTAAATTTAAAAATTGGATCACTATATCTAAACGCCGATCGAAATAAAGTTCTTGTACGAAACATTTTTATTTATGAAGAGTATTATTGCTTCGCTGCAACCGATGTTAACGCTTTTTCACGATTTTTTCTTTAACTTTTAAGTAATTTATTGCTAAATGTTTATTTTGCGTTATTTGATAAAATTATTATCGTATTCACAAGTTATTTGAGCTAAAAATAAATATACAGAAATATAGAGAAATAATTCAGGGAGTAGTGATGAAAGAACGACGAAATGAAAAGTAATTGCAAAATTATAATTAAAATATGACAAAAACAACAATTTATTAAAAAACTACTATCACAGCCGCTGTCAGTTAATTTCTGTTTTTAATTTTTATGAAAAATTTAATGAAATCTTAAACTTTCAATTAAAAGACTTGTGTACTTCTAATACCTTGAAACCTTGATATAATGCAAACTCCGTAGAGAATGATCTACAAAGATGTGTGACGTTAGTCGACGCACATAATAAATAAAATCGTTAAACGCGGTTATTTGGCTGACAAAAAATAACAATTCATAGCTTAAGTCTCCGTCTTCAATCCTTTGATTTTGTAATTTATATATATATGCCTTGGTAAGTCATAATAAACGAATTATCTTCACTATTCAATATTAAGCTTAATTATACCAACAATATATGCTCCACGTAAAAAGTGTTAGTCGACTTACTTTCACTTGTAAATCTTCCTATAGTGAACTCGGAATGAATTCCAATTTAGTGTCAATTTGTACAGGAACAAGCGAATTTATTATATAAAGACTGTGTGTGTAAAATCATATTATACAGATACGTTCAACTGCTTAAACGAGTTCGCCGCTTAAGTCTTTTGAAATAATCGTTGCATATACACACATGTTGTATAAACTATAAATGTGTGAAATACATCGATGTGCAAGTAAATAATTTTTTAACTGTTAAGAAGCAAGGAAATGTCGTCTTACATGATCGAAGGCACTGACCTTGTAAACTCGTTTGACGAAACAAATAAATGGGATACGTACATGTGTATATTTTTTTTCGCTTTTTGTTTATATTTCGAATGTGGCATATAAAGAATTTCTTGAAACTCTGGGTACAAAATGGCTGGAAATTGTGCAATTCCAAAGCACATATGGATATTTAAAATGGATTCGTTTTATCATTTTGAAAATTCATTTATATTTATATACACTCCAAATTTGTCAAGGTCAGAAGAGACTGAAAGAGAATAGCAAAAAATTTGCTTGAACGCTACAAAAAGAAGTCCTTTTCCATCGGATTGTAACTGATAATGAAAAAATGGACCATGGATTACGTCAACCTTAAATACAGAAAATCATATGTGAAATGTGGTTAACCTGAAAAGAAAATGCTCTACTTCGAGAAGTCGGTGAAGCCATTAATGGGACGATCCCGACAACAATTTCTCAAATTGAAGCGAAGATTGCCGGTTAAAAGATTCTTGAAAGCAAGCGTTACGAAATTTTGCATCACCAGTTGACCCAAAAGCCTTCACTGTCCCAATAGTATGCTTCTGTCTTATACCAACCAATCGCAAGTGGGGTGAAAAATACCCATGTTCTAAGTTTCAATAAGATATCTTTATTTATCGCTTGTAGGAACATACGAACGAATACATACACATCCAAAAGTCTATTCCTCCCATCATCCTTATCATTTTGATACATAAATCAGTATCAATAGGGTTTGGTTTTAAATAAACAAAATTATTATACCCAGTACAATATGATGCGATAGTATAAAAAGATCATTGTTAGTGAATTAGTGTTTTGCGTGAAAATAAAAACAAAATAGATAGTTCTATCTTCTACAGAAATGTTAAAATATGCGAAAGTAACTAATGACGTCGTGTCAGAATATTTTTTCGTATGTTTAAAAGCCTTTCCAATATGGGAACTCCAAATGATGTATTTCGTAACTTTTATTAATAAGCCAAATCTTGCATGAAATAAATATATATATATTTYGTACTTATACAACTGTTAAATGATGATATTGCTCTACTGAATTACTTGAATTAATTAATGTTAAAATAAAAAAATTAAGTTTAGTACGTCAATGGCTTGTTAATATTAGCGAGCCATCTACATCCTGTGTGAATAAAATGAATTTAACAATGAGATATTTATATGCGATCTAATAAAAAACATAAAAAAGTATACAAACACTATCAAGCTAGTCGTTATTATTGTGAAAGGCAGATTCAGTTTTGATTCCATATTTAGATTGTTGTTTGCTCTTCATAAGTAACTTTTTTATTTTCTTATACTTTTTCTAAATTGAGTGGGCTGATGATTCGTTTTCCATCAGGTTTAATTCATTCTAATAAATGAGATGTTGCCGCTATTACGTGTATTCAAACTGTCCAATACTAAGGGAGATACCATAATTTTGAGGTTTATCATAAGTAATCAGTGTGTCAAAAAGACATTAACTAATAACTAGATTTATAACTGTGATGGAAAAGTAACTATTCTCATATAACTTCAAGTGAATCGTCATAAGCCTCCTTTCGTTTATAACGTTCATTCCCTTCTAGCAAAGTATTTTTAACACCTCGTCTTTGTACACTGAACAATTATAAGTATTTTAGTATATATCAGCTATAAGCTATTTTATACTTGAATTCAAAGGATCATGTTAGATAAAAGTAAATATATATTTAAATAAACTTTATATTACTATGCAGTAGGTAATATTCCGGCCGACACTTATAATTTTTTGGTCTTTTCAAAATTTTACATTTCGATTACGCCTCAATAATTGAGAATACTTCAGAATAAATACATACTGAATGAAAGTATATATTCTGGTTCTTAAAGAAAATATTTTGAATGAAATAGAATGAGAAATCATGGTTCGAGATGTTATAATATATTTTTTATAAAATGATTATCAGTTACTAATGCAAAAAGTAATTTAATTATTATATGTATTACACATTATTATTTATTGAAGTGCTGAGGGAATTTTTTTTTTACTTTTTATTACAAATATTTCTTATGWATTATTTAAAAAAAACTCACAAACAACTCACTTATGTTTGTGAGTTTTTTGGTAGATCATACCACATTTCACACCGTCAACGAGTCAACGAACAGTTTGTTGGCAGTAACATAAAGTTGTTTTTGTTTTATGAATATGAATGATGCTGATATTCTAGACAGTTTTCTGCACGCATCAGTGACAAACACATCTCAAAAAACATAAATACAACAAGCACAGTCGTAATTCTCGTATTTCATTTAAAAATCTCTTCGAGTTCACCTCGCTTGAACTAAAGAGCAAATAAACAAAACTGAAACAGTGTAATATATTAATTCACGTCTGCATTCAATATACTCGCACACAAGTATATTATTTCAGTCGTAAGATTTATAAAAACGAGACAAAGTCAAATGGTTATAAGTGTAACACTGTAAAATTTATAAAAACATGTTCTTGTGTTAAGGAAATAACAAGGAATTTAAGGATTTTCAGCAGTTGATATATGAATCTGAATTTTCTTTAAATATTGTTATTGAGAATATGGTGAGTTGCTGCTGAATATTGTGGAGTATCTAAAATTCAAAGTGAATATAAAAGTCTTTCGATGCTTTATTGTAGTTTTTTATTGAAAATTATGGAAATTTTTTCTCATGTAAGATGTAAACAAAGCAGCGTTTTTTTAATTTGATAGCATATAGCTAATTAAATTATGGGTTGGGCAGATAATACTACAGACTTACTAAAAGTAATAGCTTCTTCGTTTTGAAAGATTAAAAAAAAAAATGAAACATAAATTACTTAATAAGTTAATGACTTAAGAATATTTGATGATAACACAAAGTTTATTACACAAAAGCGAAAAAGTGTTAAAAATTTTCTTTCATTCAAACAAAAATTTTTTTATGCATAAAAACAAATACACTGTGAGTAGAATGAAATTATTGTCTAACGACCATGTAATCTGGCCGGAAACACATTATGAACATTAATAATGATACGCTACGACCATCAAATGACTGACTGGTCAGTCTAGCAACCCTGAACTAGCATTTTTTACGCTCCATGAACGTAGACTATGTATGTATGTTCAAACATAACATTATTATACTTCCTAAAGTAAACATCCTTTCCAACCTATTTTATGACAGCGTAATTTGTGGCGACTAAGCAAAACATAAATTAAAATCATCTTGTTGTTCATTTTTTTTTTTAATTATCTGATTTTTATTTATCTCATTTCATTAGCATACAATTTATTAGGTATTGCTTTAAAAATTGGATAAAATATTACTTACATTAATTTCAATGCCTTTTTTAGTATTTACTTTAGTGAAACGGGTATTTCTGAATGTAGCTACTTGAATGTCAATCAACTTCCCCAGTTAGGCATTTGGCTGCATCCCACTCATATGTATAAAAAATGAAAAATGTTTCATAAAATTTATTTGAGAATATAAGTATGTATTTTTATTTTTTGAGACTTTGTAAATGGCTGATAATAAAATATGATATAAATGTTGTACGTATATACATTCTTGTATGCTTCTTAAAAAATATAACATCAACTTTGTAACAATGTTAAAAAAATATTTTGCTGTTTCAGATTTTCCAATTGAGTATTTTCGTGTTGACAGCGTTGACATCAAGCACGCTAGCCCAGTATAACTATGAACCACCATTAAAACGCGGAGGTTACAATTATTCACCACCAGAAGAGCCTTTCAACGAAACACCACCGTCCAAGTCTTTTTCAGATTTACGAGTATCTACCTCTGCACCAAAACTTGTGGATAAAACTTCAGCTCCGCATCTGGGATATACATATATAAAACCAGATGTGTTATTCACTCCACCCACTCCAATCAAGAACAGTATTACTGCAAAGCCTCCATCAAACTTTAGTGGATTACCTACACGTGTTCCAAATTTGAAAGGATATGAATACGCACGTCCGGCTGTCTCATTTACCTACCCGTCAATTAATTTGAAAAGCAATTCAACTCCGGTTTCCTCGCAAATACCAAAAATAACTTTAATACCAGCCTTGAAACCAAAAGAAGCAGTATTACCACCTCCCTTTCATCTAAAATCTTCGGGATACACGTACCCACATCCTGTTATTCCATTTACAATTCCGAAAGATGGAGAATCACATCCCTCGACAGTACCTACCGCCCATCCAACAACAGATTACTCTTACAATACTTCTACCCCTTCGATAGATGTTACCTCGGATCCAAGCATATCACCAATAATTTCAACAAATACAACCTATTCTCCAAAAATAAAAGGATACACCTATACGCGACCTTTTGTTTCATTTACAATTCCAGCAAGAATTAGAAATGATAAACCAACACAACTGCCGAAACTTAAGGGATATTTCTATCCTAAGCCCAAAGAGCCTTTAACACTACCAAACATATTTCCGAAGTCAAAAGACAATCTTGAGACCAAGCAAGGAATTATCCTTAAAAATGAAACCAAAGCGTATACTGAGATATCTACTGATCGTTCGACTAGTATAATGTCACAAACATCATCGAAGGGTTACTTCTATTCACCGCCGGAAGTGCCGTTTACTTTACCACCCAAAAATTCGATTACTCGACCATCTGAAGTGCAAATAACGCATTCAACGAACTCTTCTTCTACATTAACTCCTAAAACATCGCCCCTTAAACGAGCTAATGGATATGTTTACTCACGACCTGATACTCCTTTCAAGACTCCAACAAGGTTACCAATCAGCAAAGCGTATACTGATCGTTCGACTAATATAATATCAGAAACATCATCGAAAGGTTACTTATATTCACCGCCGGAAGTGCCGTTTATATTACCACCCAAAAGTTCGGTTACTCAAACATCTGAAGGGCAAACGAACTCCTCTTCCAAATTGATTAGTTATCCAGAAACATCGCCCCTTAAACGAGCTAATGGATATGTTTACTCACGACCTGATACTCCTTTCAAGACTCCAACAATGTCACCAATCAAAATTTCCTCTTCACTCCCAAAATCGAATGGATACTTATATATACCGCCTGATATTACTTTTAATATTCCTTCAAGTACCCCAACTACTAATCGTTCACCAACAAAGATTTTAGGATATTCGTACAAACCGCCCAAAGTTCCTTTCACAACACAAAAAAAAACATTAAAAACTGATACGCCACCATCTTCCATATTATTAAAATCACAGAAACAAACTAAACCTGTCGTTAATTCAAATTATTTGGAACCTCCTCAGATGGGTTACATATACCCTAAACCAGCCATACCCTTTGGATTCTGAACGCCTTCGTCGCTATGGGTTTATGTATGAATATATGAATGTACAGAAAATATACAAATAAAGAAGCTTATAACAGCTAATGAAAGTTTTCGTTATATTTTAATTCTATTGCGAAATATATGTTATCCAACACATTACACAAAGAGGACTTTCCCCGTATGTGATTAAAAACTAATATACAATGTTCAGCATATATATACATAATACTATCATCATTACTTGTATACTTCAGAAGAACTATGTCCATTCTTTAATATTTAAAATCTACCTTTAGTGGGTCACTGGTGACATTTATAGAGTTGCTTGTGAAATGAACTTTTAGTAGTTCTGACGAATATCCGTATAAAATCATACTTAAGGCGTGATAATCGTCTGGCTATTCCTATTTTTACTAATTTGTTTTATTAATTTTCTAGACAATTTCTGAAAATATATTGTTATTCAAATTTAAAAAAGTTGTATATATTTAGGCATTTCTTTATGCATACTTGCTGTACATGCATACATCCAAATTAATAATAATTAAAATAAGTAAACATATATGATGGTGGCATACATTTAGGCTTTTAATATACCTAAGCATGCTTCGTGTATACGTTTGAGTTCATTTACTATATATTTGTTAAATATATTTTAAACTTTAATAACGAAACTCTATGCATTTAACGGAAAACTCGAATTACGTAGAAACTATTATTGTCTGTTTGATTAACAATAAACGTATTTTATAAGCTATGAGCTTATTTTGTACGGAAGACATCCAACATATTTACATACATATATCGGCTTGTTAAAACCCATCTTATCTTGTGTATTGAATTAAAGGTATTATCAGTTCATCATTTCATCGTACACAATTGTTAAATTTTTGCAGAAAAAAGTAGTTGGCAATAGGAAGAAACCTTATTTTGACAGATGAAAGTGAAAAGAAACAAGAAAAAACGTTGACTTCGGCTGCACCGAAACTAATATACCCTTCACATTATACCCGCATTTCTTTTAGTAACAATGTGTTCAATTTGTATGGAAGCTATTTGCGAAGATACCACGTCAAATTAAGAAGTTTCCGATGCAAGCATTTGATTCCGATCGTTCAGTTTGTATGGCAGCTATATGTTATAGTAAGTCGATCTGAACAATTTCTTCGTAAATTACATTATTACCTTAGAAAATAACCTGTGCCAACTTATGTGAAGATACATTGTCAAATGTGAAAGTTTTCCATACAAGAACTTGATTCCGGTCGTTCAATTTGTATGGCAGCTATTTGTTATAGTGGTCCGATATCAGTAGTTCCGACAAATGAGCAGCTTCTTGTAGAGAAAAAGACTTTTGCAAAATTTCAAAATCATATCTTAAAAACTGAGGGACTAGTTCGTATATATACAGACAGAGAGAGAGAGACAGAGAGACGGCCATGGCTAAATCACCTTAGCTCAGCATATTGTTCATTTATATATATACTTTATAGGGTCTCCGACGCATTCTTCTGGCTGTTACAAACTTCGTGGCAAGCTTAATATAACTTGTTCATATATATATATATCATAATGCTTCCTTTACAAATTTAAGAATTCAATCCAATGTTTTCTACAGGTCAGATATCAATACACAATATAAAACAAAGTCGCCTTTTCTGTACCTTTATGTTTATATGTAAAATAACATCTGTTAAATAGTGGAGAAGTACTGCTATTTTGAGGTTTCTAATTTGATGTCGTCAAAAATTACATTTTTTCCATTTACATTGAAAACGCAGGCTGAACCCTACGAGATTTATAAAATTAATGTACTAAGAAAAGTGTACATAAATTTAGCGATGGTATACAAGTTATTCCTTATGGATATCCCAAAATAACATTTTTTTATCATTTACTTTTTACGACAAATAATGGCTAAGTTTCGAAGCAATACGGCAATAGTACTTATTCAATTAAATATCCTAAATACATTGTTGATTTAACATAGATGGGCCTTTACTGCATATGATTTGAATGGATATTTTCACAGATATTATATAAAAATTGCGAGACGTAGCTTTTGCGGTGGTACAGGGCGGCCGGGGCGGCGGGAGCGTGCCTATAGATAGCGCGTAGGAGACCGCGGCTCTCCCCATAACATTTTGAATTTAGCAGCGATCGGATGCGGAGCTCTCCAACAAGGAATATTTAAACGGAAGCCAGGAAGTATATGCGTACAATTTCAAACTAACCCTTCCTCAAAAATAATACAATTGCTTAATATTTGGATTAGTAGAATAGAACTGCAACCTAATACACAGTGCAATGGATTATAACTGGCTCAATAATCAGCCGATGAATATTATACCACGTGCATCCCAAAAGGCTGATATCAATATCTTGATATCAGTCCACTAGAACGACTGTTGATGGTCGATGGAGCCCTGTTTCTATTGTCACACACCGACGCAATAATTGGATTTTATTACGATTAAAGAGCACTCAAACACTTCTCAGAATCAGCAATTCGTTGTTTTTTGTTGGATATGAACTTGCGAGGCAAGTACTTTGCACATAGCTTTCGCGTCTTTATGCGTTATCGTCCTCGGTGCTCATTTCGGTTCTTTCCAACTTAGCGAACCTCTATTCAACGGTTGAAACCTAAACCTAACCTAAACTCAACAGTATTTTCCACCTAAAAGCAATGCTTTATTAACACACAAAATACTTTTTGATAAATTTCTTTTTTTAACTAAAATCAGTTGCTTCACAAAAATTCTATATCTCATTAATCAATATTTTTAATCTAACTAATAGAAATCAAACAGATGGTAGTAGTAGTATTATCTATGTGTGTTCCACAGTAAATAGTAGACGAGTCTTCTAGTTTTGAAATAAATTGAATATCAGCTTCTTCTTGCCCATATTGTCAACACAATTCGTTTTTAAGAGAAAATATGAAAAAAAGCTATGTGCGTTTTATTTGCCAACAATTTAACTATTAGCTTAGGACCGTCGAATAAAGCACTCTTTGTAACGAAATAGTCAATTTTACTTTAAAAGCAATAATCGACTAACAATCTAAATAGTTTTATTAGTAGTCGGAAAAGTATTTTCGTATTTTGTCAACAGATGTCGTTGCAGTTGTATATCTCCTCTGCTCCCAATCACATTGTGCCACAAAAATATTATATTCGGGGAAGTTGAGAAAAATATGAAAAGACTTTTTCGGCTACCCAATATATATAGCTCATAAATATATAGTATATGGGTGTTGGGGAGTAGTATCGACCCGATTTAGCCCGGAAATTAAAATTGCGTTATATGTTAAGTAGGCATGGTTGCATTCCTTGTCACACTGCTACATAGGAATGTCAGAAGAATGTCACGTACCAAATTTGGTTAAAATCGATCGGTCAGGCCTCGCGATATGTGATTTCACCTTAAAGCGGGCGGTGACACGCACATCGGACAATTTTTACCCTGTCTGTTACTAAGCCTCCTTATACCATCTCGGGTGTAAAATTTTATTAGTTTTTAACAGTATCGCTTTTTGGGGAGTGGACGCGGTAAGGGTGCTTAAGGGATTTGTACTGAGTAAATTTGGGGTTTTTGTAGCTAAAGTGGTTTAGGGGATATTTAAATTAAATTAATTATAACAAAGTGTCGCGACCAATTTTCAAAAATTAATGGGGTTTTATGGTAGTAGTAGTGGCAGATGGGGATACTGCAATACCAATCGTCTTACGATGGCGAGAAACATGTGTCCCAAGGTACAACACGTGGCAAGAGTATAAATAAGAAAATCCTAAATTCGGTGTTAATTTGGATATGACATAATTTGACAAGTTCTCTAAATAAAGAATATTACACATTTATGTAATTCAAAATATACGAGAACTTAATTTCAATATTTCATGCCCCAGAATTTCTCAATATAAATAAAATTATAATGTTTTGATTGGATTATTTATTATTAGTTGTCTTCGTTTACGTCAATGTTTTTCATATATTTCTGATTTAGTATCGGCGACGACGGTATACGCGACGACGAGCAGTTTTGTAACGATAACCATCATTAGAAGAAAAGGTATGGGCGGGAGCAGATTCTGCATAAGAAGGTTCAGCATATGACTCAGACTGGTAAGATGCAGCAGGCGCATATGTTTCCGATTGATATGATGGGGCAGCAGAATAAGAAGAAACTGCAGGAGATGCATCTGGAGACAAGTATTCAACGGAAGGTGATGAAGCTGCTGGAGGCAAATATTCGCTTGAAAGAGCACCACGACGTTGACGATGACGGTATACTACACGCCTTTGAGTTTTGTACCGGTAACCGTCCGATGAGGAGAAACTATGCGAAGCAACTGGTTCCGAGGCTGCATATTCTGGTTCTACTAAGACACTGGGAGCAGCAAGATCAAAGCTTTGTTCTGGAACGTTGTAAGAAGGAGCCGATAGTGGAGCACTATAAGTCTGTACTGGAGCGGAAGCAGCAGCAGCATAAGTTGGTGGAAGGTATTCATTGCTTATGTGGCTAACATCAGCGGTCACAGATGCCACCAAAACACAAACCAAAAAATAAATTTTCTGGAAAAAAAAAATTAAAATTAATATGTGGTACTTTCGCGAAAAGATTGAAAAAACACGTAATATTTAATTCAATATGCCTTTGTCCTTGTGTTTATTATCTTACCATTTTAAATAGTTTATCTCTTAATCGGGACAGAAACCAAATGAAAGTGATACTTTGTTCAAAAATTAGCTTGTTTTATAGTCTGCTTAGAATGATGCGCAAAGCTGTCGCAACAGCATTTCTTCAAATAAGTAAATAAAGGTGACACAAGCGTACAGCTGCAGATTATGCAAGCAATAAATAAATATTTTAAGTTTATAAACCAGTTCTATTGTGATTAAAATTAAATTTGTCTCTTGACAAAATTGCAAGAAACTTTTATACTAAATTATTAAAAGCACTCAACAAGTATCCTGCTGTTGGACGTACTCTACTATTTAGCGTTATAATGATATTACAATGTAAAAATTGAAGATAAGTCTTATATTGAAATATTTGAAATCGCCATGACAGAAAGAAAATACATGTTTTTCATAATAACACATTTAGTACCAGTTCATTTGAATGTATGTACCAAGTAATCACCCTTGGCCCAATACACTTGTACCAACGTTTTCTCCAATCCTCGAAACAGTTGTTAAAGTCGATTTCCAGAATAGCCTTCAATGCGTAATGATTCACGTTTAATAGCTTCAATTGACTCAAAACGGATTCCCCGAAGCGGTCGTTTGAGTTTGTTGAATAGCCAGAAGTCACACGGAGTTAAATTAGGTGAATACGGTGGTTGCGCCATGATATTGATTGAAAATTTGGCGAAAAACTCACGAAGAAACAATGCAGTATACAACGATGTATTATCGTGATGCAAAAACCAAGATTTATGGGCCCATAATTCCGGCATCTTCTACGAACAGCTGCTCGCAAACGACGCAAAACACTCAAGTAGTATTCATTGTTGACAGTTTTGCCGATCGGAAGGAATTCGGAGTGCATCGCACCTGGATATTCGAAGAAAACTGTCAACATTACCTTGATATTAGACCTGCTTTCACGTGGTTTTCCCTGGTAAGCATTGTTTCACATATCCCACGCGGTGCTGGTTTTCGATACAATTTAGTTTCCAACTATGGCGTTAAGATCTCTCACTGTTAATCGTCGATTCTCAAACACTTCAGAAGACTTTACTGACAATAGTAACTCTGAGTATCTAAATATGGGTTGAATTGGGTCATACATTTTCGAACATCGGGCTGACTTTACTCCAGATGGTTCGTGATTGTATATGAGTTTCATTAATGAAGCTAGGGAACATTTTGTTAGTATGTGGAATGATAATATTTAATAGATAAAAACGGATCGATTCCATCCTAACCCCCTTATAATAAATATTTATATAATATATATGTATGTAAGTATAATGATTTTTCGTTTTTTTTATCAATCTTATGCCGAATATGTCGGTCAGTGTACGATATATAAAATTGCTTAGATTCCAACCCTCTGGTTGGCATTTTACAATTACATCTTATTGCATTTCCCTGGCTTTGATTCTTTCGCAACTTGAAAGAGTATTAAATGTTCGGGCTAAGGGAAGTATTGGCCCGCTTCAACCCATCTTTGACATTCAGACATATTATTATAAGAAAAATATTATCCTTTAATTTCAGTTATATAGAGATATTTAGAGTTTTATATCTTAATTTAGTGCAAAGTTATGGCATTTTATACGTTTTCGGTTAGTGGCGATTTAATGGTGTGGCAGTGGTCCGATTATGCCCATCTACAAACTCGATTTTTTTTTTTTTTTTGTACTAAGGAACCTACATCACCTACATAAGTTTCATCAAGATATCTCAATTTTTACTCAAGTTACAGCTTGCACGGACAGACGGACAGACATACACTCAACCGGATTTCAAGTATTCTCACCCTTCTGATCATTTATATATACATAAACCTCTTTCTATCTAAATTAGTTTTAGGTGATACATATAACCGTTAGGTGAACAAAACTATAATATTCTATAGCAACTGGTTGCAAGAGTATAAAAATCAGTATCTCTTTCTATATATATACATACATATACATATGTACAAACATACCAGTGGGATAATGGTTCACCGCTTACTTTTTTCTTTGAAGAATGCTCCGAAGAAAATTCTTTGTAGAATTCTTCGATACCAGGTTATGCATAAAAGTACGCTATGCGGCTAAAATCTACTTCGTTCATATTTACAATCAAGTAAATACTTCAAAAACGTTACATTACAATATGTAAACAACAAATACAAGTTGATGAAATAAAATGTATTAGCATTATTTCGTCAAATGGTGAAAAATTTGAAGAAAATTTGCAGAAAGTTGGTTGTGTTTAGGTGAGCTGCTACTTTAATTAAAAATTTTGTTTAATTTTGTGTTCAAGCTTTGAATAGAGAAATAATATTAATATTCTCGAAAAGGCATTTGAGAAGGCTAATTAAAATTGAAGAAAGTGAAGCACTTTAATGCGTTACTATTTATTAAAGAAAATTGAATATGAATTTTTTCTATTCTACTACTGATCTTGGCAGAGAAGAATTCTTCGTTAACTTTGGCATCCCTATGGTAAACGAAAGGGGTGATCTGTTACTTTTCGTAGGACATCGCCGGGTTTTTTCTCATCGATCGGAGTAAGCGATACAATCATACTACATCGTTTACCTTCCTCGTTTATCAATGTCTACCATATCCCGCTGGGATATTAGGTTGGAAAATATCTCCCTTCTGCATTTTTGTCTTTTGAATTTCGCGGCAATCTATAAAGAACCAATAAATTGGCGATGATATTATGTCTTCAAATTTATAAAAAGTGTTACCGTGATCGGATTTAGTTCAAATATGCGCCGTTTCGTTCCATAAACTGTTTCCATCTAGACGGCAACTTCCTAATACCTTCATCAAGAAGGAAAACTTTAAAACAGCGTGAATTTCAACGTTAAGGAACTCCATGTTTACACCTCTATAACGATTGAACGCAATATGAAAACTAATCACGCATAGTGTCGTTTTGTATGTTATGACCTTTCAAAGATGTATAGTATTGCCAGATACGAGCTCTGTAGCGCTTTATACATAGCCGCGAAATTCAAAATACAAAACGGCGGAATATAATTCCTAACATATAAATTCATAAATTCAATTAATGAAAATAAAGAAAGTTAACTAAGCCACACAGAGGATTAAATTACATATGTATTTACACCCCTTGAAGACTTTGCTAACTGAATTTCACTTACTAATTGAGGTTCATAGTGCACTAAATTTCAAATATGAAAATAAAATACTTTATATTCTTATACGAGTAATGATGTTATTTTTTTGTAATTCCGTATACAATTGGACACACATATAATACAAATTCAGATACATATCTAATACACCAGCTAGGTCTCATTAACCTATTCTCTTACTTAAAGAATAATTCTGTCTTCTTGAATAAAATCCTTAGTGACGACGGTAAATGACGCGACGATGGGTTTTGTAACGATATCCATCATCAGACAAAACATGAGCAGGGGTAACTTCAACAAGGGCTGGAGCTGGTGCCGCCTGTTGAACAGGTGGTAAGTAATCATTTGATGGTGCAGCAACTGGTGCTCCCTGAACTGGTGGCAAGTATTCGTTGGAAGGCAAATGGCTCACATCACGACGATTGCGACGATATACAACACGACGGTGTGTTTTATAACGATA